TTTATTATTAATTATAAACCTTAATGTTTATAATAAATAGATTAATCTCTCAATATCTGCTGAACTGACTTATTCAGTTAACCAAATTCAAGCCAATGCTAATTTAATCAAACAAGGCATCTCCAACACTGAATTTCTTAGCCAAATATTAGATTCATAAACTCTTAATGCATTTTAGAAGATAACGACCATTTTATTAAAGTTTTCTTATTCCGTCATTCTGTTATTAATTCATGATAAGTTAATCTTCTGCCATACCAAATTCAACCTTGACCTTTATCTTTAAAATTTAAAATGGGAATAAGTTCATCGACTTGTAGAAGTATTCATCTTGAATTTGACCTCTCACATTCATTCTTTTATCTAACATATAAGTCATCATATGATATATTTATTTTGATGTGACTGAAGTTCTGAATCTTTACTGTATTAATTGTTTCGAAATCACCTATAGGAAATCCATAAAATTAAAAAATTGTTGAGAAAATTATTATGAATATGTAAATAAAATAGAAACTTATTTTTAGATAATAAGTAGTATAGTTTCTTTACTGGGTAAGTATATAAAAAATAAGTTAGATCTAAGCAATAAAAACTAAAACGAACCAATTAATTAAGATAAATTGTGAATCTCAACTCTATTCCAAAACCTAAGATAACATTAGTTTATAAATTAATTTTAATTTAAGTTAGAAATATTTAAGAATGTTAAAAATCATATAAATTCAAAATAATTAAGAAATTAAAAATCTAAACTAAAACACTTAATAATATGTTTGAGTATTGGTTAGAAAAATTAAACAATTAAAGCAAATATATGAAATTAAATTCATCTGAAAATCAGATGAAAAATAATTTGATATTCATGAGTCATATCTCAAAGCAATTTTATTTGTTAGATTTACAAACATATGTATTGAATATTAAATTATTAGTTTAGTAATTTTATTTACTGATTAATCCTAATCAAAACTAGGTTCTTCTGTATTGTGAAGTTACTGTTTATGAAGTCTATCGGATAGAACTTTAATTAGCTTCAGTCGATCTTAAATTAACTAATGTTTGTTAGTTAGATATCTAATGTATAAATCTTTAAGTTTCTGATACATGATTTTGCCTTCTTAATTTTTATTTAAAATTCTATAAAAATATGGCAATAATTTTGAATTGAATCAAAAATTCGATTGAATGATTTATATATATCTACAATGACTACAACATTTTCAATTAATCCATTTCTATCTCTATCATAAGTATTAAAAATCTTCTGGCAACAGCTCTTTCAACACCTGTCAATCCTTAATTTAATGGTTTATAATCTAATCCGCTAATAATTTATGTCTTTAGCGATTGATACATAGGTGTTTGAATAGTCAGCATTTCAAAAAAGACTAATCTTTATTACTGATTATAAGATAATTTCACAATCAATCTTATCAATTAATATCTACTAACACTATGCAAACTCCACAGTTTAAGGTAATTATTTTAAAGCTTATATAAATATTCTTGATTAAATGAACAAATCTAATTAAAGATAAATAAATATATTTCCCGCATCATATATATGTCTTAAGAGAATATTAACATAAATTTTATAAATACATTAAACCAATTCCTTTATATGCAACCCATATTATTT